AGTTAAGAAATACCGACCCCTAAGCCCCTAGTAGTGGTGTAGTAAAACATAGCTTCTAGGTCTCACGCGGTAGGCTGTGCAGGTTCATGTTTCACATAGGTAATGACAACGCATTTGGCTCAAGACATGGATAGAAAAAGAGTGCTAGCTGCAAACAACTGCGGTAGGCCTCTTGGGTTCTGTGTCTTGGTGTTTGTAACTTTATAAGGGTTTAGGGTTTATAAGAGTTTAGGGTTTAGGGTTTAGGGGTGATAAAACAAGGCCCGGAAGGACACGTAAACACCCTAAACCCCGCAAGCCCTAAACCCTGCAAGCCCNNNGGGGGGGGGGGGGGGGGCACCCTTCCATGATCCCAGGAGCCTTTGCACGAAGAGCACGCGACTGCAGACTTGGGTTTCAACCACCAGGCAGAGCCTGCAGAGGAAGTGGCGTTCGAGGCTGGACCCACAAAGAGGTTGCAGTTCGTCGGCTTAGGATTTAAACTTGGGGCTAGGGCTTGGGGCTCAGGTTAGGGTGATTGATACTAAACCCTAAACCCTAAACGCTGTGTATGGAGTCCCGAGACCCCTGATCAATAAGTTTCTGGATTGTAGGGCCGGAAGAGAAGCATCCATTAATGTAACAATCAAGACTTTGTTTCGTGATTTCTGATTTGGCGTCTATGCAGAAGACATTGAAACAGGCTAGGCTTCAAAGCCCTTGTCATTTAAACCTGAAGAGCCCACAAGCTATACCCTGAGTACGCAAACAACCTCAACTTCACTTCAGTAAATACCTTAGAGCCTTTATTCCCTCATTCCTGGAACCTCAAACACCCTTATAAACACCCTACATGAGCCTATGTAAAAATACCCTAAATGCTGAAACGCCTATTCCAGGATCCAGGAGAGAACGGGCATTCTCCGGGTGCAGCAAGATGTGCAGCCCAGGAGTTCGACAAGCCGAAGGCGGATGAGAACGAAACACGAGGGTTTAGTGTTTAGGGTTCTTTCGAAGTTCTTTCAAGGGCTAGCAAGGTTAAAGAGCTTCCTTCAGGGCTTTAGGGTTTATGGTCTGGGGTTTTCGGTTCAAGATTTAGCGCGCGGGGCTTCAGGAGTTTATGGTCATGTTTAGGAGTTTGGGCTTCGTGTTCAGGGTTTAGGACATAGTTCCAGTCGCGGTTGTCGTCACAGACACTACTTGTATGATTAACAAGGTCAGCCCTCATTGATCCTCATATCCAAACTATCAGAACAGCCAGCAGAATACAGCATCAAATCCTGTCAAGATTTTCTGGAGGCCCCAAGATCATCGAAATCCGATATGTATTCGGAACAAGCACTTGCCGTTTTGAGTTACTTCCGTTACAGGGAATTGGCTTTACGCAAGGCTAGGCTGGCATTGCAGAGCTGTTACTGCATGGAAACCAACCCTAAAACCTTATCCGCTAAAGCCCTCAAGCCCGGGACCCTGGACCCTAAACGCCTGCCCAAAGCCCCCGAAATCATGAGCCCTTAATCCTGAACCGGAACCTTAAGCTAGCAAAGAGCGTCTAGCCTTAACCGAAACCTTCAAAACCCTATTCTAGTCATGAAGGTCCCCTTTTGTTAGCCCCGCGACCATAGCCGGCGCTGAACTTAAGAACTCTACACTCAAACCCCTACTACAACCCCTAAAACAAAATCACTTTTAATAGCATAACAGTATCGAAAAAAGGGCCCAATCCCTTGTTCATAATTCAACAGTTTCGAGGAAAAACACACTTGAGATCCCTTGTTTACACTATAACATAACAACTATCGCAACAAAAAAGGGGCCCCTTACCTAAACCCTAAACCCTAAACCCTAAAGCCCTAAACCCTAGACCCTAGGTGCCGATGCCCTACATTCGCCCTGCGATAAACCCTAAACCCTAAACCCTAAACCCTAAAGCCTTATAAACTCTAAACCCTAGGTGCCGATGCAAGCCTTCTACGCACAGCTCGGCGCCCGGTTCCTTAAAGGCTGAGTAGGTAACCTTTAACCTTTTGGGGCTCTTATAATCCTACTATAATTCAAAAGCCCTAAACCCTAAACCCT